TGCACACAGACAACCAGATCTCCCAGTCCAGTCTGCACGGTTTGCAGTTGTGCAGATATTGAGTTGGTAATTATTTTCACAAATATACCCCATTATTTACAATTATTACATCCCCCCCCACCCACCAAAATAAAATTGGGCTGAATGGAAAAGACCAGTATTAAGCACCTGCTTGTAAGGTCAATTTTATTTCTTTTGTTTTCCACTGACATCAACCCAAAAGGTCGATCCAAGGTCAAGGATTATCTCATGCTTCAATCAGAGGGGAATGGCCCTTGCGTCTATCTTTGACGCCATCTTGACACTGATAACAAATTATCAGCAATTATCTGGTCATTGGAGCCATTGAAACCTGCTAATATCATGTTTAATTCCATCACTCGCTGCGCCTCTAGGAATATGTGGGTGGAGAAATACCTATGGTTTTTTCCGACCCCCAGAGAGAGAGACAGAGAGAAAGAGAGCAGGTAAAGACACGACACTGGTGTTTGCAATGTCCTGCCTGCTTTCAACTCGCTGTTGTGCCATTATATTGGGAAACTGCAAAGCAGCCCAGAATTAACAAATTCAAAAGCACCTCAGTGCACCCGGGCCGATTTTAAAATGAAAGTTATCAAGAAACAGATTAGTGCGGCATATATAAACATTCAACTGATAGGGATCTAAAATAATACATTTAACTGCGAGCAGAACGTTTAAATTGTCCTCCATTATGCAATGGCCCTGAGAGATGCTGCGAGTTGCTTTTTACCTCTCCTTTGTAAGAGATTCAAATTAATAACTAATCCCGCGCATTATTTATGTAAAATATATATGTTTCATGCCACTTTAAAGTTAAAAAAAAAGCCAGACATCAGGCATTTGTCAATAGTCTCTTTAAATTATGATGTATGTACTCAATGCCATGGATTATATTTTTAAATGCATATCTCTTTAAAAAACACAAAATAATCCATATATTTTACAAACAGGACATTCATTATTGTGATGGATCGACTTTATTTCTGCTTTCTTTGATTCAGTGCAGGAGTTTAAAGGAGCAAGCCCGTAACAAACTTCCTCCAAGAGAAAATATCCTTTTTATTAGGCTGGGTTTAAAAAGGAGATTATGGTTGTACTTGGGCCCCACCAATTGACGTAATTATGATTTAAAACATTGATTTATCAAAATGGCCAACTTCTCTTTGAAAAAAACAGGTCTATTCCATATCTGCTGTGCAGATTCCGTTTAATCTTAGGGTAGTGCCATAGAGCAGAGCGAGTTCTCAATCAATATGTGCAACTCCAGATACACGATTCGACAGGGCCTTGTGTTTCTTTTTTGGGGGATAGTGGTGGTGTGGGGGGCGCTGAGTGGACGTATATTGCCGATGTCTTTTTCCTTATAATATGTACAAATATATGTGGCTGTGCATATGTGCATTGCCTCTCTGCAGATCTTTACAGTGGCTGCAGATATTTATCATCTTTTTATACTGACGGTTTATGTTTGAGTTGGGAGCTAAAATGTCGTCTTTATTTCTTTATTCACTAGTTTGTGATTTCGGCTTTTGGAGGGACGTCGTCAAAGCAGCAAAGCAATGTGAGGAATTAGGAGGTGTAGTGGTTTGTTGCTCATGAGAAACTATAAACATGTTGTGGGGGGGGGGGGGGGGGGGGGGGGGAGCAGGAGTTGCAAGAACCCTCCAACATAACGGTGCGCAAATGTACAGCCCAACAATCACATCAATAAATAATCGGAGGAGCGAAAATATATTCGAATGCTTAACGATAGTGTCTAACATTCAAAATCAGTGCCTAAATTGACCGTAATTCATGGCATAATTTGCAGTTAAAAAAGCTTAAACACTAATATTCATTCGCCCAAAGCAGCATCTTTTCTGAGCACAACTTAAGTCGAATCTGTAAAGTGACCAATTTGACTTATATAAAAAGATAGTTACACAAAAATGGCTAACCGAGTCACAGGTAAATTACATGTGTGATATATATTTCCAATGCCTTCTTTGCAAGTAGAATTTGCAACCAACTGCGCCGAGTCGCAAATACAAAGACAAGCCCTCATTTGAATGACAATTAAAACGATGATGGCGGTGGGTTGGGTAGTGGGGGGGGAGGGAGGGGGGTGAGTACGAGAAGGAATTCTGTTGCAAAAACTCTGAATGTGACCTTGACAGCCCGTCAGCCGTTCAGTCAACTCTTTGGTGTATTTTCCCAGGGAGAGGGGGGCAACTGGGAGCAGATAATGCAGAAATCCGTCCACTCCAGTAAATATGTTATCAGTAACACTAACGCCATATGTTGCATCGAGTCGTTGTCACTGACATCCCCCAATGCTCCATCAATTTGCCTCAGCCCATCTTGCACCGCTATTTAGCTTTTAACGTCAAATCGGGCATTTGCCCCGGCTCCGGGCTGTCTGCAACCCAAGTGCCTCAGTTAGCTACAGACATGATGGTGTTTTAAGAAGGCAGCGCCCCTACGATGTAGGTAGTGGGGTGGGGTGGGGGGGGGGATTGATGAATTTGGAATTTACTTTACATATGTTAATCCTACGCTTTTTTTAAATAAAAAAATATCTGTTTGTGAAATATTAGAGCTAATACAGGGCCACCAGGAAATGGCTGCTGTTTATTTGTTCAGCGTCTTAATCATAATTTGTCAGTTAGTGGCACCGAGGAACACCAGCAATGTTTTAAAGGGGATTAATCAAATAAACATATGCCGTGGAGTAGACTACAGTGCAAAGCACTTTGCCGAATATTAGTACTAATGCTTATCACCAGAACCGTACTCTCGCTCGCTACAGACCCTCAAGTGTCCCCTTTTAGATGTGCACTGGGCTGTTGTCTGCTGGAGGGAACCACAACAGTCCGTTATCCTTGTTAGCAATTATTGGATGGAAATAGTGGAGATGCTGTAGAGTTGGCTACCCTCTTAAATTACAGGGCACCCCATCGTTTTTTTTATCCCCTTCCCCCCAAAAAAGAATGAACGCGGCCAATATACTGGAATATATGTTGTGCAAAGTGTTGTACCGTGCAATTGTAAACTATAAAGGATTTGAGAGAAATCGGGCGACGCGGCATAAAGTCACCAACTTGTTTTAAAGAGACAGCCAACCATTGTTGGCTGGAGTTTATGGCGATCAGAAATCAAATCTCTGCAAGACCTCTGTTAAAGCTGTTTGCCATTCAGTGTAACGCATTCAATCAAACACAACGTTCAAGCTTTTCAACCGAGTCTTTTTTTAAAAAAATTAAAACACAGTGTCCATTTTGAAATACTGGCGGATATTACTAGAGGTGTTTAGTAGGTATGACTTTTGGCAGTTTGCAATAAGGAGTATGCTTGCAATGAGAAAGAGGATCACAGTTCGCCTATAAAATCTGTTAAACGCGAGTGGGAGAAAGATTGCACATCGGCGATATTAGCGACAAATGCAAGTCTGTGTAAACACACCAAACACAAGATATGACCCTTTGAAATAAAAGGGCAGAACACTTTTCCCCTACACAGCCAGTTTGGCTAACCCCACAACCTTGCTTTTGTAACATGCTTGGGAGACGGTGCAAAACTTCCCTTATCTTTTTATAGGCATTTGCAGATGTGCTCACCCCCGACTGGCAGTGCATATGCTAACAGGAAAGGAGCAGAACTGCAGCAACGGTGCAAGTGGGGAGACATGTCGGCTGTTAGTCAGTACTGAGGGACAACTGATGCTGACATTTAATGTTGCAGAAGAAAGCTCGAAGCAGTGCAGGCGATTACCCATGTCACCCATTTAAGCCATATTTGTTCCCCACCAGAAGGACACACAGCGCTGAAAAGAATGAGCCTTCACTGATGTTAATAAAGCATAAATCATGGTTTCAGAAGAGTCAAGAGCTGGAGTTAGTCATGTAGCGCTGGGGGCCAAATAGTGTTAGTTGACAGTGTCACATCGACTCCAGTTTTAAGTGAGTGTGTTAATGCAGGATACAAACACAACATTGTTCACATTTTACGAAGCTGATGATTTAACCAAAAGTGCACTTCCAATGGAGCTGCAAGTACTTTTGAGGCCCTATATAATCCCCTCACTAACCTTTTTTTACACACACAGGCTGCATTTCAGGCCTATCAAAAGTCAAAGATGCCCCACATATAAATCTAAAACAACATTCTGCCTCTGGAATAAAACTTCTTAAAGTAATATCCGAAAGCCCCGAAGTCTGAACTTCAGAGAACGAGAGAACGCTTTTTTTTTTGCAGGCCTGGAAATACCCGGTGATATTTATAAATCACAGACAGAGAAGCATTGGGATGGAAGAATTTGAAACATTCCACATTTTTCTAGAGAGAGAGAGAGAGAGAGAAAAAAAGACGCCCACGACTGGGTCTGGATACCTCGGCAGGGCCCACAGAGAGGGATCAGAAGAGGATATAACGCCCAGGACACCGAGCTGCCTGTGCACTGCATTCACCCTTCACATGTGTATTGCAAATCGCCCCTTACTTCTGCGGTTACTCGCTCATCCGATATCCCTAAATCTTCCCCACGTTAACTTAAGCTCTTAACGTAAACTATGAACTATGTTTTTTTTAATATGCGGGAGGGGGAAAAACAAGCGAGATCAGTCTGCGCTCCCCAGACAAGAACGCTTATTCAGCGCCGGGGAATGTTTGGAAATCTTTGCAAATCTGTTATAGTTAATATGTTGGACGTCTGCCATTTGTTATTTAAAGTACCCCCAAAAAAATGTAATTCTGGTGCAGTTCGCGAGAGCTATTTGGGATATCGTCCTCCTCTTTATTTGCAAGACACAAAAACACTTACAAGATAATTATTAATCGGTTTCTCTTCAATAAAAAGGCAGCAACGCGTTCACTAAGGATCAACATAGCATCTGACAGTGTTATTTGCCTCGCAGTCCATTGAAATGGATCCAACATCACCTTAGACCCGACTATTCACCCCACAAAGCCAGCGCACCGGTAGTCAAAACGATACAAATATATTTTTGTAAAAAAAAAGTGTTTTTTTATTGACATAATTACAACGTTTACATCTCCAATACTTTATCTCCACTTTTTTGGACGGAAGTGCACAAGCCAAAAACAACTTTTGAAAATATTGAACGAAATACTGAATGACCACAATACAACACTATATACTTGCACACTAACATTGCCTATTTGCACTTTGGTACACCTACTTTTTTGTTTCAATACAACATTAAAAAACTTCAATATTTATATCCCAAATGAAGTCCAAGATACATTTCACAAAATACATAATTCTTTACCAAGAAGTCTTTTTTTTTGTGTGTGTGCTATAAAACATTTAACACTTAAAAAACATTCACATCTACTGTGAAACAATACGACCCCTTACCAACTTGGCCTTTTCTTCAAAAATACGGAATGCCTTTTCTTCCAACAATCCGCTCTCTGGGGTGAGAAATTGCACATAAATAAAGTTGATTCTGAACATATAGCTTCTGTCGACGTGCGAAAGTTTACGATGAATATTTTTTACAAGTCTGGACGTCTCTTCCCCCCTGAGTTCAGGTTCAAGCTTTCACTGTTTCAGTTCCAAAGCCCAGACGTGTTGAGGCCATCCAGTCCTTCCTTTTGTTTTCTTATCGTTGCTACTAACTGTATTCTTCAAAACTTCATTCTGTCAAAGTCCAGTAAAGCAACACGTAGAGGATTATTTACGATGGATCGAAAGATCCATTGCAAAAAAAAGAACCCGAAACTCACCAAAATACATCTACCACTTTACTCATACAGCAAATTTTCACGCAAAAAAAGTCCACACGTGTGCTTGCGATATAGATTGTATTAAAAAAANTCAAAAGCAATTATCTTTGTGGTGTCTATCTATATACTGCAGCATCTTCGGGGTTCACTGGGTAGTTTTCCCATTCAGAAAAGCTGTGGCGTGTTGTGTCTGGGCTGTGCAATTGAGGGATGAAAATAGCCCTATCGTCCTGGGTTTCAGTTAATAAGTGTTTCTGAGTAAGCACTTCCACATTTAGCCTGTGACCTGGCGATTTTACCATATTCCCCTCAGCATTAAGAGCATTTTCGTGGAATTTGACTTGAATTTACAGACCAACAGCAACGTTTTACTTTGTTATTTTTTAATAATTTTTTTTTGACCACCCCCACCCCTCCCCCATAAATATCACTCACTATAAAATTGCACTTTGGTGGTAAGCCACTATAAATATATTACATGCAGAATAAACACACACATTTCTCAAAACTTCAAATATCGTGTCAACAGCCGTTATTGCCATTTTCCCACCCCCCAAAAAATACTCAAAATAATCCAAGCAGAGTGTCAGCCACGACTTTGATTTCAGTGCTGTCTGTAGAAGACTGCGTTTCAAGTGGATTTACCTCTTTTTTTTGTAAGTGGCAACAAGACTCGGTTGTAAAACGATACGTTTCCAATTCTGCAAATCCCAAACTAGATGGGCACACTTGACTAAAATATTTAAGATGCTCTGGTGTGATAGGTTTGAAGGGTCAATATGCAATTTCTCCTCTCTCTACCAGGCCCCGTTAAAAACCTATGATCACATTAGGCACAGCAACGCAGTGTGCTCGTGTTTCTGCAGTCACTCCACCCAGCTTTGCTCTTACGTTTCCCCCCTCAAATCACTTCGGACCAACGCATCGCTCTCCTGCAGCCCAAAGCCAAATTGGTTGAGTTCAACACCGAGGAAAGGCACGTGAAACCGACAAGACGGCGCAGCGTCCAAGCAATTTAGATGGAACTAAGGGCACCTCCTGGGAAATGCCCACCCCCCCACCCCACCCACCCTCCCCCCCCCACCCAAAAAAAAAATAAAAAAATCTTGCAAATCAAAATGCAACGCCACCAAAAACCCACGTTTGCCCCTCACGCTAATTGCGACACCTAAAAAGAAACGAAGATGCCCGCAGAGTGCCTTACCAGCTCCCGCTTCCTCTTCTCCTCCTTGACATCCACCTTCTTGATCTCCGCCTTGAAGGCCTCGGTCTCTCCGTTCTGGTCATCCTTGGCCAGCAGGTCCATGAGGTAGGCGATGTAGCTTGTGGCCAGGCGCAGGGTCTTGATCTTGGACAGCTTGGTGTCGGCGGGCACGTTGGGGATGCACTCGCGCAGCTCCGCAAAGGCGCTGTTGATGCTCTGAGTCCTGCGCCTCTCCTTGCGGTTGGCGGTGCCCCTGCGCTTGGGCGGACGGACCCCGGACGCCACCGCCGCCACCGCCGCCGCCGCCGACACCCCCCCGTAGGCGGAGTGGTCGAGCCCGGCGGCGCCGTTCACGTACTCGGGGCTGTAGGACGGTGCCATGCTGTAGTCGGGGGGCGACATCTCGGCGTGGCTGATGAGCCATCCGTGGAAGTAGGGGCTCTCCTCATGACAGCGACTCGCGGCCGCCGCGGCCGCCGCCGCGAACGGGTAACCCTCGTGTACCACTGGGTGATGGGGGAATCCTCCAACCAGACTCATCTTTCGATTATATCGGCGGGTTTTCCCCTTCTCCCCTTCTTCTTCTCCCCCCCCACACCCCCCGCCCCACACCCCCCACCTCCACACACACACCCAACCCCCCCCCCCCCACCCCCCTCCCGCAAGTCCTTTCTTTTTATTCGCTTTGTGGGTTTTTTTTTTTTTTGCAGCCTTCAAAAATGCAAGAATTAAAAAAGGAAGAAAAACAAACACACGCACACACACCCCCCAAAAACACACACACACACACACACACCACGCTCCCCCCCACTCCTCCTCTCCAAAAAAAAAACCCCCCACGCACTCACACGCGAGATGCGTGTGTGTTTTGCAAAGGTTCGCTTCAAATATTTTCCCACTTTTTTTTCCCACCGATGATCAAAGCAAAAAACTCTACCGACTGGGGGTGGTGGGGGCTGGGGGGTGGTGGGGGGCTGGGGGGTGGTGGGGGGCTGGGGGGTGGTGGGGGGCTGGGGGGTGGTGGGGGGCTGGGGGTGGGGGCTGGGGGGTGGGGGGGTGGATATAACTATTTTTTAGGGTATTAAATATCACGGTGCTTTACTTACAATCGACTTCCTCCATTGTGCTGTTTAATCCCTGGATTGTTTCCCCTTCTTTTGCATTAAATAACTGTTCATTGGGGGAAAAAAAAGAGAAAAAAAAAATCCGAACCTTAAAGCGAGTTGGGCTCCAAGTTGGGCTCTTTTTTTTTCTCTCCTCCCGCCCCCCCCCCCCCCCCACTCCACCCCACTCCACCCCACCTCCTCCACCCCCGAGGAAGAAGAAGAAGAAGAAAAAGAGTGGATATAAATAAGAAAAAAAAACGTCTTGCAAAAAAAAAAAAATAACTTCCTCGCAGGAAAGCAGCAGTGTCCAGTGTAGCGGACGATTCGTTCGTTAATCGCGGTCCAATATTTTGATCCAGTGGAGACTCAGACCCAGCCCTGAGCACCAGCAGCAGTTTTTGAATTTGATCTCCATGTAAAGCTACATGTTTAGGGTGGTTTGGGTTAATATATGTCGTCAGAGAGATGTCTGGCCAATCGCACGACTGAAGGGGAGGCCCGCAAAAGTCACTACATTAAAATTTGCGACTGTTTACCTTTGTAATTGCTGGGGGAGGGGGCTGGCTTTTTAGATTGGTTTGCAATTCCTTTGCATAATGAAATTAACAACACGAGAAAAATATTCTCGTAAACAGCTAATGTTCACACCCATCTTGAAATATGCTTTTTTTTTGTGTGTGTGGTGGTTGTAGCAGGAAAGGTCGTTAAACAAAAATGAACCATTTTCCTCTTTTTTTAAAGAAATACAAACACCGGTGATACCTACGTTACATGTAATCCGAAGGTGGGAGATCTATAGTATGTTTAACACGAAACCAATGCTCTGGTAAGACGTTGATTGAACAGCGAAATGATTTCTTTTCTTTGCAGCCCCGGTTAAAAAAAATAAAACCAATTGTTTGTGCAAAGGTAACTAATACTAACCAATAACTTCACGCCGTTCCTCCCTTACTCTGCTCGTAATAGGTTAGAGTATTTTACTCACATGGCGAATGCCCAGAGTTTCGCATTGTGCTGCTATCTATCTTTTCATGCACATCAGAGAGATCAAGAACCAAACGCCAGGCCAATTTAACAGACTCAAGTTTGGAGGATTAAAAGAAATCCTGGGTGAAGAGAATGGGCCCCAAATCACAAGACCAGATCGTCTGTAGACAAATCATTGGATTCGTTGAAACTTCAGACTAAAGGACGTCTTACACACAGACTTGAAGTTGGTAACATACATTTCCTGGTGAAAATTGTGGTTTTACATTATCATTTGAGAAAAAGCTTTCGGAGTCAAACCAGAAAACAAAATGCAGGAGATATATTACATGTGACCCTTTTGCACGCAATCCATTTCTTTTCCTAGATTGAAAATTCAGCAGGACTGGTGTGTGAGGACTGAGGTCGAGAAGAGACGCGGAGTTTGGGGCTGATAAGAGCACAACATACATTAGGCTTAATCCGGCAACGAGAGAGAAACTCTGTGAAATACGCAGGCAGTCTCAGGCAGGGTAATGTCTTCTGTTTTATGTCTCCTCCGGATTTCCAAAGAAGTTCTTGAAAGGAACAGAACAAATAACATTTCGCTTTTACATTATTTAAAACGCACTGGGAAGTGGGTTTGTGGGTGGGTGTCGGGAAGGGGAGCTTTAGAGATTGTTCAAAAACATAAATACTGGTAAAAGTATAGTCTTGTTTTGTCTTGTAAGCATGTTAATGTGTGGTATTACAACCCACATTTGATTGATCCTTGATTGATTCTGCTGACTGGTTGGTAACAAAACAACATGTTTCAGTTTAGGGTGGGGGTAGGGAGCAATTCAGATTTATTCCTTATTATGTTTCATCTAAGTTCTAAAATGAAATCTTGTGGTAAGCTTAAACATCCGGTGGGTTTGGCAGTGGTGAGTAAGGAATCCCCAGAAAGCATTCCAGTACCTGGGATGTTCATGTCCTGTTCTTACCCTGACCTTATTGCTTGCTTCTAGAAAGAATTGTTACCTTCAGATCACACTATCGTAGTGCACAAAGCCTGTACTGAGCATCAAACTGAAATGTAGTTTGATATATATTATAAACTCCAGTGATGACTTCAGTTAACGTTCTCCTTAATGCCTTAATGTTTGGTAAGCTATCCCAGGCCACCAAAACACTGAACGGTTCAATAAACGGAATCAACTTATTCTTATTCCTTATTCCTCCTTATTCCAGTGCTGTGGTGGGCAATGCAGTTGTTTCCGTAAAACAGTGCTGGGAAATCGCAAAAGCACTGTCCCGAGAAGGCAGTTTGCTTCGGCTGCATTCAACTGTTACACATTTATATAAAAAGACTTTTCCAAGAATTGTCTTCCTCAGCAAAGACATTTGCTAACCACCCCCCCCCCCCCCCTCCACCCCGTACTTTATGTCTGGTTTGCAAAGTAGAACGCGTTAAAAATTGTAAAAGCGAAGTGAGAACGATTCAATTGAGGAAAACAAGACATGAAATGAAATACTGTAGAAGCGACAGACAGACGCATCTGAGGTGAAACAGCGTCCGGCAGTGACAGAAATGTGTTGGGAATGCGTTTACCGTTCAAACATGTTTGGCATTTGCCACAAACAGGAATAAGTTGTGCCCTTCAACCCTATCGTTTAAAATAGGATGTGTTTAGTGTTGTTTGTATGGCACATTGGTATTCGATATTGACCAGGGTAAAGTCAACGGGGTAAATGGTCAGTATGTACAGAAACTAAAGCTGGGAGCATTGCCTTCCGTCTTCCCAATTACATGAGAGATGTTGTGCAGCTCAGATTGGATGGGTCACTTGTTGAGTTTGTAATATCTGATCCACAACAAACTGAACATATTTGGACCCACGAAAATAAACCTCGTCAGTTTTCTTCTGTTAATTGGGAGAATTGTAAAACAATCATCTTCTCTTGAGAACGGATCCTATATTTGAATAACAAAGTCAGTTTATAATTGTTCAAACTGTGCTCTAAAATAGTTTTTCTCACCAAATTTTTAAAAAAATGTTATTATCAATACCTTCCCTTCAAAGTGATCGCAAACCAATGGCATACTCTTCTGACTTCCTGGCGGAATGAGGATCACGTCCATTTCCAAAGTGCGATTTTTTGTCAGATTATACTGTATATTTTCAATAGTCTCTGTTACCATTTGTTGTTGCAATTCAAATTCTGCCTTTAGAAGCGAAAATTATATTTTGCATTTTCCTCAAATGAGCATTGAAACGGCACCACGATACATTAGACCAAGTAGAATATTAAAAACAAAATGATGCCATTTGCTCTCAACTTGACTTACCGGGTAAGACAGCAGCTGCATTAATACATAATATTCCTTGCATTTGATACAGTGCTTTTCAGGTCGTGCAGACATTTCAAAGCGCTTCACAGGATTTACTGTAACGTGTAGTGACTGTATCTTGTAGGCAAACGCCTACATGTGTACGATGGTAAAGTCCATTGCACAAATGATATAACGAAAAATTCTGGGTTTTATATCAGAATATGGTTGGACAATATCAAGACAGAGATGACATTTAACAATTGTAGTCATAATAATTTCACTGTAAAACGTTCGCTTGTTATTTTTCTGTTTTCTACGGCCTGCAAGTGTTGTTAGATTTTTGTTTTAAATTGCTGCTTCGGTTTCGATCACAGAATTATTACCCAAATTACTATGAATATAAGAGCCTGTGCGAATCTATGGTGGACTTGGCATCGCAGTTACGATTCAGGTATCAATGAATTTCTCTCACAGCTGAAAAGGAATTGAAGACAAAATACACACACAATATCGTGACAAAGCATAAATACTCAATGTGTGACATCCTCTGGCTATAACAAAATACGATTACACTACGAAATAAGAACTAATATTTAGCGGGGAATATTTTGAGTCGCGTTTTTACACAATCATTATCCATTTATGCACTGTATGACCTTTCGGTACATGACACAGCTGCAAACGCATCTATATAAGCTGCTTTTCAAACAGGCAAATAATGGGCTCATTAGCTTAATCATACAAATAAAATATGCAATCGCTTTCCATCACACCTTGTAAAAGTTTTTAGTTATTATGAAATTCGGGAAACACTTTCTGGAGGCAGTTAAATTAAACAGTTGGTTGTAGTTTTTGCAATACAATTTCTATGCATAAAATATATGTTTTCAATCAATCTACACAACCATGTCGCTGCATCCCACACCCACTGGAATATAATTCAGAACTTGCATTCTTCTGTCGCTGTGTAGCCCTAATAACGTGAATTAGCATTTCCATACTGCCTTCAAAAAAATTATTTTTTGTCGTCTCTTTTGCCTTTAAATGTGGATGAAGCACACGTGGGCTTTCGGTTAATTCGGACAAAGGTGAAGTAACCGACGCACCCGAAAGGTAAAGGTAACGGTCCCTTTAAGAGATAACAGGTATGTGTGTGTGTGTGTGTGTGTGTGTGTGTGTGTCGGTGTGTGAATGGTTGCGATGTAATGCGCCTGACTCTCGTGAGGTGGCGCACTTCAATGTCAGGACTGAATGGGGAGAGTATTTTATGGTAAAAGCCAATGCCAATGTACAGTAAGACATGCTTTCTTTCTCAATAATGTATTCGTTTCCATGCTATATCACACTCGATAAGATGTGAGAAAATGGTGACGGTGTTTAGTCTGAATGGGTTGCATGTCTGCGGACCTGCTTTTGAGTGTTCTGCTGGTAAACATAATGTTGCTTTGCATGCAATATGTTCAGATGCTGTAATTCTAACATAAAGTCCGTCCATTTAAGAATATTTTATTTCGCTTTTTTTTAGAAAACGCGTTGTGGAAAAGCGGGATATTGCAATGAAAACTGAACCCGTGAATTCATTGCTCTCAACCCCACAGTTGTAGATGAACTGTATAAACGTGCGTGCGCGCGTGTGTTGTGTCTATACAGTGCTCACAATAATATACACAATCAAATAGTGTACACATGTGCAACACAAACAATGCAATAGAAATAGCCGACAGTGCATGAGGAAAGAGTGGAAATTGATTTGTTGATGAATTTACATTATTTCGTTTCAATATCTATGAGCACCCTACAGACTACACACACACACACACACACCCCACTGAGCTACTCATACAACGGTGGGGTTGTGAACTATCAATTCATAGTTTCAGCTAACACCCAAAAGATCATTTGATATCTTTTGTAACGGGTACAGAAAAAATAATAATCGTTTTTTTTTGCCGTTGTTGGATGTGAGCTTATCATTTGAAAGATTGCAATACGATTTGAACATCTTTCTTGGGGAAAAACAATGTAACATGAATTGTAAGTCTTGGGAATTGTCTGCACAGATGTGTGCTGTCATGAGTGAGCATTTTTTTGATTTACAGACTAATTTCTTAACTATAATTTTTTGTATTTGGGAGAGAAACATGGGAGGATATTGCAATGTGTTTGGAACAATCTATTTTTCTGCAATTTGGTTTTGTAGGTTTTAATTGTAAATTTCCGACTGCGAGTCGGGGTAAGTCAGTGTGTGAGAGTTTGATCTGTATTTGCAGAGTGAACGACGATTTTGAAAGCAAGTCAGAATTTTAACCTTTTCACAACCCCCATTGCAACCAAAAAAAACCCCACCAGAATGCGTTATTTGATTTTTTGTTCAAAAACTTTCAGTTCCTGTTATTATTTTACTCAACGCAGATTTAACTCCGCTAATCTCCTCGCCGTTTCCAACCTCCCAAGGACACAGATAGATCATTGTTTCAAGATCGTTTTCAGTTGATGAAATTGACCTGCAAGTGACGAATAGGTTGTTGGAAAAGGCCAACAAGGCGTCTTTTAGTTGGTCAATTGCTGTAACCTTTACAATGGTTTCCCTTTTTTTTAGGAAAAAGAGAGCTAATCATAAAAAGGCACAACGGTCTGAGGATATAATTCAAGGTATCACATACACCCAACATCAGAATGAATTTTTTTTTATACACTTTGTATGCATGAGAATATATTTACAGCATTAAGAGTAGTCTCTTGTTGTTTCCTCCCTCCCCACAAATGCAGTTGTACTGAATGAAACTCGCCATCACAGTCTCCGGACAGGCTGAGGCTCCAGGTAATTACATGTAATCAGACCAAAGGGTCACTTGGTCATTCTCCTGTTACACCCTCCTCCAGCATCCGTCTGATGTGCTTTCAAACTTTATTCCACACAAACAAATAGAGAAAATCAAGAGATGGCGGGGGTGGGGTGGGGGGGATTATACAATAAGCGTGTGCTATCATTAAAACATCAAATATTAGCATTTAACAAAATCGAAAGGGCCGTTTTTATTCCGGAATGTGATTGTGATAATCGTGCAGTTCCCGAAATGGAGACAGAAATGAAAGTCAATGCAATTCAAGGATCCTAAAGGGAAAGTTTATCATGAAACTTTCCAACGACAGGTAGAAAGAAGGATTCAGTGAACTCAGCTCGAGGATCTTTTCTCTAAACTAAAACTTTCCTTAGGTTTCTTTGCACATTGCCCCGATGACGGGCCCTGCGCACGATTTCATGTGAAAGTGCAGAAAGCGGAGATTTCCTATTCACTGAGTGTCTGTGTCTCTCTGTGTGAGTGTGAGTGTGAGTGCGAATGTGCCTCAGCTTTGCTTGTGTTAATTCTCGTTTTCAACAACACCCAACAAAAAGAGGAATGTTTTCAATCATTTTAAACCATATTTCAGCCAGTTGTCGATTTACAATTTTTTTGGGGGGTGGTGGGGTGGGGGTGGGGGGGGGGTGGGGGATAGATTTTTTTTAGAAGGCTTTATTACATGTTTAATCGAATATTTAATTTTCACCAGTCTTTTTTTTTTGGTTGAACTTCCAGTTCGATTAACTGAAATCCACGAACGTTAACAGTGGCAACGAGAGCAAAATTACAGATATCAATCAACAAGAAGGGTCTTGGGCTCAAGGGAGAAAAAGCCACAAGTAAAGAGAGAGGTTTGGAAAAGCTGTTGGAAAACACGGATTTTTTAAGAGAAACAGCGAATAATTGAAATGTCACCGTACTGTCTGTTATTATAAATATTGTACATTTATTGCACCTATGATAGAAAAGTGATAGAAAAGTGTTGGAAGCGGATGCATTATGAACGTCTCCATTTCCTTCACTTCTCCGGGTATAATATCATCATAACACTACAATACATTACAACATTATATTTGTAAAAAGCGCCTTTCACGTCAGGAGGACGTCCCAAGGCGCTGAACAGACAGGGATTAGGACCCGGGTGGGTGGTGGGGTGGGGGTGGGGGGGCAGGAGAGGGTCGGAGGGTGGCCCAAGGCACAGTCGAAGAGGAGGGTCTTGAGACTTGAAGCAATAAAAGTAATCGCCACGATTTCAGCATCACATCGTGCACTTCATTTAATGCATTGCATTTCTGAGTCCCAACTGCAAAACAATTGCAGATCGGAGGTGATCAGTGAACTTATGTTATGGGGAATGTTACACGTTGCCATGTAATTGCCACAATTAGATGACATCCTACACGAATTCGCGAGAGGTAAATGGTAAAAAGATTAATTTGCAATTTCACTTTTAGTGCTTTGAACGGCCAGTGCCTTTGTGAAAGAGCAGCAACACGCCGTGTCGGCGAGTGGGTTAATGCTTTTCTATAATTTTGAGTAAAGCACACAAAACAAGCAGGAAAAAAACCTCCCCCCAAAATGACTCATTTCGATCTGGGAAAGGGACTTGGGAAAAGTGTGCAACCCCCCCCCCCCCCCCCCGTAAAGATTTAAGTTAAACGGAAATATACATTGTAAGAGTGAGCTTTAGTTATCAACGTTTGGAATAAAACGTCAGTGGAAAGTTATGTTGTGGAATGGCATTTTAATGACTTGCCATTTACTCATCCATCCACCGGACAGACATCCACCTCATATGTATTTAGGGAGTTGTACAGAGAACTGGTCAGAATGCAGTCTGCCACTACTGCTGAGCGTACATAATGTTTGGGCAAAAGGTTTTTAAACCCTGTTGCCACGAAAGGGCTTTATCGCCACGATACTCCTGGATATTGCTGCATTTGCTCCAATGTTATTTAAAGAAATCCAGTTAACGTGGCGCCTGGTGCTCACAGATCTTGCTCTGGTCAGAATGTAACCAATGCAGCCATTTATTTATCTGTTGAGCCGAAGAGTTAGTTAGCTGTTAAACATATCCCTGAACATATAGATTTTAGCATTTCACCATTCAACCTTCACGATCATTTCTTTTGCAATTGACATGTTTTCATTTCTAAGTGGCATTACTGTATCTATAAACGTTTGCAATTGTTGATTCTACACGTTACATCCAGAAATATTTGAGATACACATCTAAAAACAATGTTATGGGACCTATTAGACCAACTGCACCACAGAGGTTTATATTGACCGTCTATTTAAATGACCTGTAAATGGGTTAAATAACATCTTTATTTAAATAAAATAACACTCGTTCGCAATATTTTTCTCGGTGGCACTTTGTGTCCAGGTATTTCGATTCAACCGCATTACTTTAAAACATAAACTTTAAGGATTTCGAAAGAAAAACAGCGAGGGGAATGGAGACTGAAGAATATTATTGTTTTGATTAAGTATTATGGTTATTATTAAATACATGAATCAGCTTCGCTCTGGGAATAAAAGTTTGCATTTCATTTGTTATTATTGTCGGCAGAAAGTTATTTGATAAGAAAAGGCAGTTTCTCCTCTATTCCACGTGAAAAAAGTAACCCTTCGAGCTGAGTCGTTGCTTTTACAACACAGTTGCTTTTACAAATGGTGTAATAAACAGCACTGAAGCCCTTGAACAGCACTGTGTTCCCCAAACTTGGCAAGTCTGATTGCACCCCAAAAGGGAGGAAAATATACTTATTTGATTCACTGACCGAATGTAACATAAGGACTCGTGCAACACTGAGGGTTAATGCATTATTGTTACTATAGTGCAATTAGTGCTATCAATTTCTTCCGAAGAGACACGAACTCTGTAATACATTTTGACATTATCAGGCTAATTGTTAAATATTTATGAATTCTTCCATGGTTTCCCTATCCATCTAACATAGCTGCCAGCTCCAGTTGCACCAGTTTCATCTGTGGTTTCCTTTGCAATCTTGCTGTTTAGAATTCCTCTATTTTGACTGCCTGTAGGAAATCTATTGCAATCCCCCTGTAAATATATTCCATGATATAATATATACACAAAACAATTAATACACATCTAAGAATTTATTTGTATCTAAGAATTTATTTATTTATAAATTCTCAGGGTGACTTGATTGCTATCATCCAGGCCCAGCAACTCGTAAGATATTAATAATTTTCTTTAAATCTGACTTCCAGAGTATTGAGGGTAAATAGTAATGTTTGTAGTCTGACCAACATTTAAAATTTATCAAAAAGAACATTAAAACATTCTTTTCATTATTACAAAGGTGGAAAAAATATAAATGGAACCATTGTCAAGAATTGCTTACAATTTATGTTATGATAATGATGCTAGAAATACACTGAAATGTTACATATTTCATCAATTTTTATTTTATTTTGAACTATGGTGATAGTTTATATTTCATTATAATATAGAATCTGAATATAGTAACAGAAAAAACAAGTTAAGTTGAGGTAACATAGTTTGATAATACCACGATTGCATTTTAAAAGCCTGGAGGAAGAAGGAAATAATAATCATAATCCTTGCATTTGATATAGCATCTTACCACATCATTGAGACATCTCAAAGCACTTCATAGAATATATTGTAAAGTGGATTGATTGTGTATTTTGTGGGCAAAACAGGGCAGCCAATTGTGCACAGCAGTGTTCCAAAAACAGTTGTGGATTGAGTGACCACATTTATTTTGAGAGATTATTACCCCTGAAAAACGATCCACCAACTGTCTTAACAATCCGGTTCCTATTTACTGCCAGGTAAACAGAGGCATGTGGAGTAAAGAAACTTGCCTAAAGTATCGCCCCACCCAGGAATCAAATCGGTGTCCTTTTGCTTGCGAGCCGAGTGTGCTAACCACTATACTGCAGGAATCCATGAAAGATTGAAGAAGGTAAAAGAAGATTTCCACAGTTGTGATGTCCTCGAAAACAATGATCTGCTGTTGGGTACAATTTGCTGTAATTTGATTTCATCACATTAAGAATACAGGACTGTGTATTTGGGAGGACATTTGGGAGCAATATGAGAGAGAAGTTTGGAGAAGTCGATGACCATAGTAACATTCATAAAGAAAAAGAGAAATATGCAATGGACATTAATGACCATGCAGCAAAATTAACAAACAGGAGTGGATAAGGTTGGGCAGTGAGTGGAGGAAGTCATTCATATTAAAGAGGAATTAAGTGGAAGAGAGAGCAAAGGTCTGGGGATGCCTGAGTTCATGGAAGAGCATGAACATCAACTGGAGTATAAATAGAGCAATTTGACACTAAATAAATAGTCATCTGAAGGACAACACTGCAAAATTAAGATGGGCAGCCAGAGAGGGCTTCAGGAATGTCCCTGATAAATCACTGGGAGCATTTGATAGATTTGGGGGGAGGATTGACTTCATGATATTAAACATATAAAGCTCTATGTGCCTAATACATTCTATCAGGAGATCCAGCGGGATAGTGCCTTTCACAGGGCTTAGAAAGACAAATGCAGAGATAGCAGCAACTCTATGGCAATATGTCAGATAACATATTGGCAATGCTAAATATACAGCTAGACGACTGTACTTTCCAAATGATCCAACATGTATCTTCTTTAAATTTGTTCTGTATCTAGTAAACTACAGGCTTACTATCTGATTAAGTTATTATTCGTTAAATAGATGGTGCTGGAGAATAGTAAATCAATGTTCTTTATGGTGTTTGTCGTGGTTTGGCTCAGTTATGAAATGTTTCATTAACTGTAATTCCCCATGGCAATTGTGTAGCCTGAGAGCCAGAGTGAAGTTGAAAGAACTTTTTCCCTCTGTGATCATTTAGCTCTGAGATACATCTGCAATTTCAACTCCCTAATCCAGTGTGTGCAAATGAATAGGAACTAGAGTGGCAGAATGCTTCGCTGACAAACTATACAAACACTTCACTTTATATTCTGTGAAGTGCTTTGAGATGTCTCGACGATGTGATAAGGCTCTATATTAAAACAAGCATTATTATCATTACTGTTATATAGAAAGAGGTAACAGCCTTGATTAGAGAAATCGTACCCGGATAGACTGGATGGCAAAAAAAGCAACTGAGCTTGTTTCTTGTTCTAGAAGAAGCAACAGCAGCCTGTCAGATACTGTAGCTTGGAAGCATTCAGTACTTTTCTCTTTAACAGCTTTCAATGTCCTTTTGGTGTTCCTGATGAAGTTTGCCCTGGAATTTAGGAACACGAGAGCGCCATTCTATCCATCGAGCCAATTTGTCACAGATAAGTCTGCACCATTACCCACTGCCATCTTCCCGCATCCCACTTTCTTGCCTTGTCACCATATCCTTTAACATTTCTACTTCAAAAGTCCCCTACTTCTATCTTTTCTTTCATTCTTCAGTCAATTTCGTATCTTCTTCCTGGAGCAGTGCAAAATCTAATTCATATCACTCTGTGCGACAGGAGCTGGGTGCTGCAAAGCCTTAAGGTCAAAGCTTCTGAAACCTCTGGATTCCCCCTTCATCTCCCTCGGTGTACACTAATGAGCTAATTGTCTGCTTATTGCAAGGCCATTCAGAGCTGCAGGGTTGCCTGGGATGATTGGTGCCTTAACTTTACCAGAGAATGACATCTTATTTCATGTTTATTAAAATGGTTTAAATGCTGGCTTCTTTCTTAATGGGACTTAAAGTAGACCTTAAAGTAATGGAAAATATATTTTTCTACCTACTTTACAGTAGTGTTGGGAAGTGTTGTGAATGCATTTATGCCTTTTTTAAAAAATCTACAGAAAGTACCTTTTCAAGTCGTTTTCCTCTCCCTCCCTCCCTCCCCCTCTGTCCCCCTTTCCCTGTTTTACTTACGTTCTATCCTCCTCTCTTATCTTCCCCTCTTTTCTCTCCTTCCTCCCCTCTTTCTTTCCTCTTCCATCCCATCTCTCCTTCCCCCCACCCCCCCACCCCCTCGCTCTGTGGGTTTCCTTCTCTCTGTCTCCCTTTCTCTCTTTCTGTCTCCCTT